TATCTATCTATCTATCTATCTATCTATCTATCTATCTATCTATCTATCTATCTATATGTCTGTCTGTCTGTCTGTCTGTGTATTCTTCTGTCTATCCATCCATTTCTCCATCCATCCATCCACCCATCGATCCATCCATCCATCCATCGATCCATCCATCCATCTAGCTATCTTGAGCCTCAAATGTTGCAATATCTGAGTGCTAGGCTTTTCAAATAATTATGATGTCCTTGGCCTGCCTCAATTTCCATCTATGAATCTGGTAAAGGCAATGTAATCGAGACCGTTGTAAAGCATACAAGTGAAAAGTAACAGAACAGCTGTTCCATTCTCATTGTTTTATATAATAGTGAAAAGCACGATACCCCTCTATGAATTACACAACGAAGATAAACACCACTCTGTTTAAGTGTAATTGTAGATATTTTACATCCCTGTCGGCACAATAAGATCTTTTAGAAGGGCTGGATGTTTTGACCTTGTTTGTCAGGATCAGTCCGGGCTGAGAGAGGTGTACGTGTTTTCGTTGGCCATGTCTGAGCTTTCACCCTACTTGGGCTGTTTTGGGGAGTTTCTGGGAGCTCTTCCACCCATTTGACTCCGTCCATTTAACTTGAGATGACGTTAAAACCCGAGGATATAGTCTCACAATAGCCTTACAAAGTGGAAAGGTGCGTTAAACTTATACTATGACCTATGTTCTGTCTTCTTCAAACGTTTTTTTGCCTCTCGAGCCTTTGTCGGGGTGTTAGGTGCTTAACTTGGAAGGTACACAGTTTGCGCCAACATCATTGTAATTAAAGTGAAAGATCTGGAGCAGACATCGGCGGTCATGGTTTGCTATTACTTTCTTCTCTCGAAAGCTCAAACGTAAAGAAACTGTATTACCCTGGCCTCCACCCGCAATAAATCGTAAGGTTTTCTATTATTTTTTAACGAATATTTATTTAAGTACTCTTTTTCCACCCCTCTCTATCCCTATTTTCCAGCTCCATGATTTTGATCATTTGGGAGGCGGGCTTCGGTCCTGCCAGGGCCAACTCGGGCTGAGACGGATACAGCATTCTAGCAGAAAGATCGACATGCTCGATACCCTTCCTTTAAAAAAAAACAACTCTGCCCCACCCCCAAAAAAATAAAATTGAACACAGCCCTTCAGTATGCAATGGTGAAGGTGTTAGCCGCCACAGCAACTGAAGGTCGGTGTGTCCTCATTGGTTGTTCTGGTGGACACACTGCTATACTGAACCGGCCCCAGGGTAGTTCTGCTGGCGTCTGTGGTCTACAAGTTTCGAGCTTCGCCTTCTCATGCAGGATGTCCGCTTTCGATTCCCACCTCCTAAAGTGTGTAAATTGTTTCAAATGGGGCGTAAAGAAGCCTACATTTAAAGTTAAAAAAATTATTTACCTTCAATTGCGAGACAAACTGAACATGTTAACCAGGCTAGGTGGGAGGTTATGATAGTATCCAAGCAGAAGCCAAGAGAGCCGTGACAGAGTAACACAACTGAGTGGGGGTAGAATGTACGACTTTTGCACATGACACCAAGACCCAGAACGTTACGACACAAAACACTAATGTCTAAGAGAGTTTACAATACCAACCCTCCCCATTTCACCAAAGAGAGAAGCACACAAATAAACAAACATAAGAGAGAGAGAGAGAGAGAGAGAGAGAGAGAGAGAGAGAGAGAGAGAGAGAGA